TTCACTAAAGGGTTGAATAAAAGAGTTATTAAAAAGTCCAGACTTTTGATAAAATTATTTAATTGGAAAAAACACAAAGACAATTTTTGACTATTCCTTTAATTAAAAAAAAAAATGGCTCCATCGATGTAATCCACACGACGCCCGCGCAAATAAAAAAAAGTCCCACCACACGATGACTGTCCGAACCCGACGAAAACTCATCGGAAAGTAAACAGATGGGCAGGACATCACGGCTCGCTCCTCCCATTTGACATTCTCAGCTGTCATATACTACATAGCATTCGGGAACTCCCGAATGCTATCCGAGAACTCCAGAAAACTATGTAGTTTTTCTCCCCATTTTTGGGGGCTGCGGTTCCCCCCTAAAATTCCTACCAGACCTAAAGGGCCTGGTATGGATTTTGGGGGGAACCCTACGCACTTTTTTTTTAACTGGGGGGGGGGGTCCCTTCTAACATTTCTACCAGACCCAAAGGGTCTGGTATGACTTGGGGGGGAAACTCACGCTTTTTTTTCCCCCCAATTGTTCTTTTCCTAATGTCATTTTGCTACGAACGAATGAAACGAAAACTACACGAAATTTCGACCGGAATACCGCTAACAAATTTTTCCGAATCCCGAAACATTCAATTTCGGACCCGAATCCTGAAAAACTAAATAACGCAAATTCGGAATCAAAACGAAGCATAACACATTTTTTACTGGTGCACACTAGTGCTCACTGAAATGATACAACTGTGCTAAATTACATAGGCCCTGCAAAGCTAGAATGCTGGAATACGGCATATTTGTTTTAGTTTGGTATCAATTTCCTGAAGGTTAAATGAAGGTCTTGCTAGCAATAATTATTCATGGATGACAAACAGGGCATTTGAAAATGTATCTGTATGTTTCTTTTTTTCAAGTGCTCACATGAGCTAAGAGCCCATGGGGGATTAGAAATTCCAGTCTCTTGACGGTACTCGTTGCATTATATTACTGCGATTTATTATATTTTTTCATTTATGGGGTAGAAAGGGGGACCTCTGTATAAACAAGATACAACTGAAAAGCAGTTAGGATAGTCATGCTTACTTCTAGTGGATGAGCTGCGCTGCAGTAATGACACCTATTTGCTGTGGGGAAATGATCCATTTAAAGGAAACTATAGTGATTTGGGGTCAGTTTTAGTTGATTAAGAGTAAAAAGTTTTTAAACTGTTCTTTTATATCTTTTTTTTTAACTATATGCACATACAATTTTTTTTTTTTCACTCACTTGGGAATTCCACCATTGAAAGAACACCGTGTATTTTTTTCAATGACTAGAAGGCGTCTGATTGGATGAGGCAGAGATTGGCAGAGATCTTCACCTCAGGGAGGTATCTCTCCATTTGGGACCTAGAGTTGGGAAGGAACAGGCCTTTTTGTTATGTTTTCTTTTTTTTCTGTCTACTTTAATGTTTAATATTTGTCCTAGTGACCACTATCACCGATACAGAAAGTGATGTGAAGAATTTTCAGTTGTCACCACATTAGCCGGTGAGACGGAATATTCCAATAGGACCACCTATTCCAGTGACTGTCTGTGAGCGGATCTACCCTCATTTTAGAGAGATTTCCTCTTTCTTATTGTAGGACAATATTCCTAATGGCACACAGATGGCAGGAAAAAAACTTTCATTTTCAACACATTTTTTAACTATCCTATATCGTTCCAAAAGTGGAAAAAAAAGTTTCAATAGTAATATACTTTAAAGTATATTTCTACTTTTGCAGTCAAATTTGAGAAAACCCCACTATTTGGCTGTTATGACTTCCTGTTCACACAGCATACCTAAAAATAAATAAATAAAATAATAAAAAATGATGTTTAATATCTCTGTTAAGCAGGCATTTAGACAGACTGCAAGCTTCTCTGTACATTTTGAAAGAGACAGGAAACTATGGCTGTCCCCATAGAAAGACTAGGGACACTTTGAGCTTCCTCTCATTAACATACAATGTTTCTAGATCTCTAGAGCTTCCTCTCTTTAACCTACAATGCTTCTAGATCTCCAACGCTCCCTTTGTTAAAACAGACAGTGTTCAAATCTAGTTTACAAATAACAATGAGATCTGACAGCACAGTACAGGCAGAATTAATTATGGTAACCGCCCCACCCCCTTGCATTCCAGAGGAAGATTCAGTTTAGAGAAAACTAGTAAAAGGAGAAAACAAGTAATATGTAAGCAGCATTTATTTTTATTTTTTTAAAGTTGGAAAATACATTTTAAACATCTTTATGAAACATTGAACATGCACAACATAACAAATGTGGCATTGCGTTGGCAATACCACGGTGTTAGGTGGCCTCAAAGTCACCCAGGATTCTCAGCCATAGGGGCTGAGTGGCTCCAGGAAGACATTGCTTGTACCAGGAAAGAGCTGGTTTTTCAGTCCTTTCCAAGTTTTCTGGATCATAGTTGGGATCCTGGAGTCAGGAGATTTCTTAGAGCTCTGGGTGGGACGAAATCTTCATTCCTGGGTCTATGGGTTAGTAGCGACCAGCACCTAATTGTGCACCTGTGTACAATCCCCGTGAAGAGGGTGCTGGGATGTTTTGAGGGCCCCACCTGGGAGACAGGAGAACTCCACCCAGGAGTAAGACCCCGTTCACATTGAGCGATTTATCGCGCGGTAATTCCCGCGATATCGCGGCAATTTACCGCGCGATATCGCTCTCCAATGCTTCTCAATGGGGCAAAGGGTCCTGCTGTCGCGGGTCGTGTGTCGCTACAGCAGGACCCTTTTTGGAGCGGATTTAGCCGCGATTCAAGCTTGCTCAATGCAAGCATTTGCACAATATCGCGTGACAAATCACGCGATATCGCGCAAAATGCAAATCGCTCGACAATCGCGCGATTTGCGAACCGCTCAATGTGAACGGGGCCTCAGAGTGGAGGCCAGTGCAGCAGGGAGCTGCGGGTTTGTGAAGCCTGTTGTGCGGGTTATCACGTTATTGAGATTGTCTGGAGAAAACAGACAGTGGCCCTGCGGATTGAGGCCGGAGCAGCAGTGCTGCAAGAGAGAGCTGTTAAAAGACTGGGACACTGTGAGTGTGTGGGACATTTTGAGGATTGGTGAGCCAATATATGTTGTGCTGAAGACAAGCTACTTTTTATGTAGGACTGCCTTGATTATCTGCTGTTTAAAAAATAATAAAGACTGTTGTTTATGGAAAAGTCCTGTGCGGAGTGCTCTGTGAGCTCCCCATCATTACACAACACATTGACCCCGTTCATGAATGAGCCTACATTTGCCTTCACGATACAACATGTTACTGCTATTTTATCCAAGATATTGCCAGTGTGGGGCAATTTTCATAAACCTTGAAGTTGTAATGTATAATATGTTACAGACCGTGCTCTATAAAAGTAAAAGTAGTTCTAATTATATTCCTTCCCTTGGTTTAGCATGTAAATGCATGCCCTTGGGTGATTTTCCAGCATCAGAGTCATCATTCAAAAGTTGACATGCTGTCACAGAGGTGTGTAAAGCTTGTGCATAGTATTCGGATTGAACTGCTTGGGGTGCATCACAGTGTGACATCTATTGACCACTATTTGTCAGTGATACACCAGCTGCTGTGAGCGTGGTGAGTCGAGTCATCGGCCCTTTGCTTCACTGAGCAGGTTGATAGTGAAAAGTGAGGAGCTAGAAGGGGGCGAAGCTTCCATAACACTTTTATGGCGCTGGGATTGCACTCCGGTGGAATTTGCAGCTGTCACTGCATTCACTCCCTGTCTCGGTATGCTAATCGATACCGCTCTGAAATAACATACACATTTGTTTATTTATTTTCCTGCTTTTGCCCCCTTCTCCCTTTTCAAAACAAACATTTTCATTCCTCCTTGGAGAGGGCTGGACTATCCTAAAAATACACAGCTTTGTATGTAAATAGACAAGAGCTGATTATAGGCTGGGACTACAGCCAAGGTTTGAGAGAGCCTCGGGGTGTTTTACATTAAAATGTGATGCCTGACAGGATCAGTGTGTCTGTCTTAACCCTGTCGTGGAATGGCATTGATCTTGCAGCAGGGACGGAGCTGGTAACAGAACCCATGCAGCACTGTGACGTTGTGTGTTAACATGCAAGCGCGGCCCTGCAGAAAACAAAGCGTTTCATGGCATGTTGCGAGAATATGAAGCCCCAAGGCTGACTTTGCAAGGTGAAAGGGTTAAGACAGCTTCTTGATTAGCATGAGACTGGGTTGGCTGTCTTGCTTCCTGCCCTTCAATAGCTTTTCACTGCATTCAAAGGCACAGAGCCATTCAACAGAGGACAGAGCAGGCTTTGCAGTGCTCGGAATACCTGAAAGCAAGCTGTTTGGGTCTAATTGTGCTGTAGACCCCTAAGCTTGCAAGAGCGGGCCTGAAGAAAGCAATAAATAATGGAATATAACCAGTGCCAGGAAAAGGCTGCAGAAGGACCAAGCCAAGAGGCGAGACAGTGACCAGCAAGCCTAGGATTCCTGCTTTTTATATCACTGTGAAAATTGGTGCAGGGTCGTGCCTGGGATATGATGTACAAAAATTTGCACGCCCAGTGTGTAAGAAACAGCTGTGTGGTTGTGAAGAATGAATATTGTCCCTTGATTACTGCAATGCCGATTTAGATTGCCTCATTGATTTGCTTCACGGATCCTGATAGGTGAAGAGAAGGAGGAGAGGAGAGGAAAAAAAAAAAACCTACGTTCATCGTCATCGCCTCCTCATTTTAATTCCACAACCACTGGGATATTGACAGTGGCTTTTTTTCGCAAGATCTTAGGTGCAAGGGTTCAGGTTGAAACCAAATTCTGTGGGTGTTTTTCCCAGTTTTCGCTTGGTTCTTTTGTGTTGTGCCTCACAGTTGGCTAAGCAGCCCTATGCTGAATCAAGCTATTGTTTGGGATCTCAGAGCTTTCACGCTACAAATCTCTGCTCACTCCCCCTCCCCTTCTTTGGCTGAGAAGCCACATAATGTGCCTTTCCTCCACATGAATCTGGAAGCTATAAGCTGGATTGATTGCAAATGAAGTGTAATGCATTGTGGGACGTGTGTAAAATTGGATCATTCGAGGGAGAAAACGAACGGACCCACAGCTTGCTTCCTAGAAGAGGTAGCAGCAAAATGTTTGCAGCCCGTGCTCAAGCTGTGCGCTTAATGTTTTGATGAAAAAAAGGGAACAGCGGTGAGGCCTGTCTCATGAAGCTGGACGATTAGGCTTCAGGTAGCCTCAGAATGAAGAAGACTCGGAGTACAACCTTACGCCGGGCCTGGCCCAGTGCTGATTTCTCTGACCGGGCCTCAGACCGCATGAGGTCCCGTAGTGAAAAGGACTATCGCCTGCACAAACATTTTCCACCAGCTTTTATTTCACAGGCATCACGAGGATATATGTCAGGTTTGTACTAATTTCTTACCCTAATCCTGCATCTGCAGACTGTTGCCTGGTAAGAATGGCATTTCTTCTGATTTTTACAAGGGTAGAGATCTGAACTAGAAAAAAAAACAACATCCATTCATTCATTCTATCTATCTATCTATCTGTCTGTCTATCTATCTCATTTGAATACATTGTAATGTGGAGCTACTGGCACAGATCTGTACAATGCACAGGTATATGTGTTTACATGATGGTGTGAATTGTACATATTTTAGTGCCTATGCCTACATCCACCATTTTGTACATCGCTAACGTTTTATGTTAGGCCTTTCAATATGGTGTTATTTGGCAAATAATTTATGCAGCACATCCAGATCTGAAGATAAGCAGCTGAAAACCTCACCGTTCTGGTCACACACACATACACACAAGCCCCTCGGCTCAGTCTCCTCATTCGAGGGACGTTTTGATTTCGTACATCAGATATATGCAGCTGGATGTCCAGTGCAAGATGATATAGAAGGGATGGTGCACATATTCCGTAGACGTTGGGTGATATCTGACAGTCTTCCACTACATAGACATTTGTTGGAATACAGACTGTCTCTCTGCTGCAGGAATGGTGCAGTAATAGTCTTAGAGGGGAAAAACACACACACACAAATCAGCAAGTTAAAGGGAAATGATCTCTTTCTTTCATGTATGGACTGAGTTTGTTTTTATTGTAGAATCAAAGCAGAATGCTTCAGAAAAATACCAGTTTCATTTACTGGGGGAAATAGACATGCTTAAGCAATGACCAAAATCTATTTAAAGACTGCTGCGTAATCTCAATGCAAAGAAGCCCTGGGCTGCAGAAAGGAATGGGACTTTCTTATTTGCTCCCCATAGTTAGAATGTATTCTGATACATATGACCATATTCATTTGAAACCCAGGTGCCAAGTCCATGACTCAAACCTTAGATGCATGTTTTATTTTTACATATACAGGGCAATGACTGTGACTTCATTGTGAAGATCGTTTGTCTACGCTTACAGTGATGCGGATATAGACAAACAAATATCCTTGTTTGGTTTGGTATTGAGAGATAGGGTCAACAGCTCCCGTAGAAGTGATTGACTTCAAAATTTCACCCTCAGTGGTCATTTGTTTTTTGTTTTTGTTTTTATAAGCTGGCATCTCATTGTAAGCCCAATAAGAATGTATCTCTTTCTCTAATACCGCCTTGAGATCACCTATGTTAATCATTGGTCTTACTATAGTATGCCTATGCAGTAAGATTGTTGTTGTACTCTTCTAAAATACAATTCATGCATTCATTTTATGCATGCAGCAGCAGTTGGAACAAAGCTATCTAATTTTATGGTTTAAGATTTAACCTGCACATACAGCTGTGCAAGGCACTGCCCATCAGGCTTGGTGGAAACGGTTATTCCAAAGCCTGGGTAAATGACATTTGCCATTTTCACCATGCCTGGCTCATTCATTGTCTCAGATGGGTATAAATAATGTGGCCCACTGTGTAGCCTGCTTCGAGTCGGTCCCCCTCTACTGACATCACAGCCTTATGTCATTCGTCTGTGATACCACAATGGGTTTTGCATCATGTCCAATCCATTTTTATTGATCTTCGTTGCCCAGCTTGCAGAACTATTGTGATTCCTTATTCATTAAGCTGGGCCATGACCATATCATTTTATTTAAATTATACATTTTACTATCCTCACCATTTTAAAACCATTAAAATACCATTTATTTTTAATATTGCAACTGATGTTCAACACTTTTTCTAAGCTTTCTCTTTTTGAACATCAGGGTGAAATATATTTAAATATGGCTGCCGATGTATCAGTGGAGAGTAGCAACTTCAATGACGTCGCTTTCTCTTGACCACTGGAGTGAGTCTGACTCAGCTATATTGAGAAATGGTATATAACTATGGCACTAGGTAAAAGAGGGGAGGTTGACACTTTGGATTGTGGAAAAGAGACCAGAGGTTTAATCATCATACAGATATAGGCCTTCTGTACATAAATAATCAACATCCTCAGAATGGCTCAGTAATATTAAATTATATGACTCTCTTGCCTGCAGTGTGCAGTTCTTGTATCGTGTATGTGTGTATGTCAGCGCAATTAATGTTAATGGTTTGCTACATCTGTCTGCATCTCCACTTGGTAATCCAGTCCTATGTTGAAGCCATGATAGCACATACAATAAACTGTTGTCTGACGGTAGTATAGGCTTGCTCCATCCACTTGTGCAAATTGATTGTGATAAGTATGGATGAGCTCATGTGATAGTCTGTGTCCTGTGCTGATACTGAAATGTGATGCTGTCTTGTGTCCGTTTTACTTCTGGTATCTGTGATGACAGAACGGGAGATGCCTCTGGCAGGATAGCTTTACCAGTTGCTCTCTATGGTATTGAAAACTGAAGGATTTGGAAACCTGGTTTTCTTAGTGGTTACAGTTCTTCACGGTGAAAAAAAAGGAGTCCCGGGCAGAGTGATATAAAGCATCCCTATGCCTCTTAATATATCCCTATAGCCCAGCTGTCTCCAGAGATCTTCATCAGGCTGCCATGTTGGTTTTGTACACCCCCCAGTGCTAGTAAAGTAATCTTCCTACAGCAATAGCTGTAGAGGAGCTAACATACCATATAACTGTAGTTAGTAGTTGAAAAGTCTGGTAACCCTTGTGACAAAATAATTTTCCTCTGCCATATCATCATTTTGCGTACTCTGTAGGACATAGAAATGATTAACCTATTTAAGAGGTATTTTCTTTCGTATTGCCTATCATGCAATAGGTGAAAACATAATGGCATCCTATAATCTAAAAACTGAAAGGCAAAATATATTTACTGCCATGAGAAATATTAACTGTTTCCCCTACATTCTTGTGTATGAAATGCAATGAGCTATACCAGCTATTATACCTAACAGCTTGTGATCATTTTAAAGGTGATGGAGAGCCATGTAGTGCATTCTAGCATTTTCAGGAAGGACAATGAGAACTCAAAAACTTGCTATCTTAAAGAGCCTGTATAGAAAGGTTATTTGTATCCTGAAACATCTACCGTTTGACTTCAGTTCCTTCTGAGAAGTTGCAGAGCACTTCCAAACATGTGACTGCCCCCAGAGCCTCATAACTGCATCTCTGCAATGTGAGATGACGGTGAGATTCCTATTACTGACATGCAAATCTGCCAAGGCACTACTGTTCTGTAGCCTCATAACTTTATATCTGCAGTGTGAGATCATCTAAGGCATTGCTGCCACTGACTGCTAGTCCCATGAGATTTAAAGGGGATAGATGGGAATAAGGAGACTGCTGACTGTTGGGTGAGCAGGCATCCGGTAATAAAAAGCTTTTTCCTGTCCCCTAGGCATTAATGAGCAGTTAACCATTGCAGTGCAGGAGCATGCCCACTGCAAGGGAAAACCTTTTATTTAGCCTGGAGCGGGCTTTAAAGTCACACTCCAGTAAAACTGAAACCTTGAGATGTGTACAGAGAGCACAACCTGTCCCCCCAGTTTTTAATTTCTTTTCATCCAGGCACAGCTGTGGTGCACCATTCCACTCAGTTCCCTATTGTTGGTAATTTCAAGATCTGAGAACCTTGTTTATGATAGAGGAGAGAAATTCCAAACCACATCTACTGCAGGCAAGTTGCTGGCTCTGATGTACAAAAGTCTAGATGTAAAAAAACTCTAGGATGTTTCTCACATCCAACATTCAGATTAAAGCTTGCCCTGGAAGTAAGAATGTGATTGTGGATACAAGAGAGAGAGAAAACATAGTAAGCCCTAGTTATAAAAATGAATGAGACTAGAACTGTCTGCTTTTGCCTTGCAACCTCTGGTTTTTTTTGCCCCACTCTACCCGGGGAGTTTAAATATTAGAATTTGATAAATAACTGAAAGGCAATGTGGAAAAAAAGTTATTTGCAGGACAGTGCCCAGTGCTGTTAGTGCTGATGCAGTCGGGTATTAGATAGCGGCTCCCGGCCGGCCGGGAGAGAAACACTTTCCCCGGAAAGGTTTACTCTGCTCGATTGTTTTGTTTTTTTCTGACATCGGAAGGTGCAATAGGTAGTTTGCTATTGCAAAGTGAAATAGCCAATAGGAATCTAGCTATGCATTCCTATGGTGTTTTTTTTTTTTATTTATTTATTCTGACGGTGTACACCAGTGGTTTTCAACCTGTGGGTCGCTGTGTGATTTCTGCTGTGCTAGGTGAGAGTCCTCCTCAGCCCTCTCCTAGCGCAGCAGTGTCAGTTCTGCCGTGTATAAATACACCATGTATAAATACATAAATGGTCCATATAGTGAGCTTGGTGCCAGATGTCGCTGCAGCAGCCATGTCATCCCTAAATTTTACCATTGGGGGGGTCACCACAACTTGGCAAATGTTACCAAGGGGTCCCGGCCCTAGAAAGGTTGAGAACCACTGGCCTAAAGGCAAATAGGCTGTTCACTTTGCAAGGGAATTTGCACTTTGTAGGGGAAGTTTCCATTAGCTTGGTGAATGTGGTGACATTGCATTTTGCAAAGTATACCCAATCATGAGCAAGGAAAATTAAAAAAACTGTTTTTTTGCTTGCACATGATTGGATGATGGAAGTCAAAAGAGCTTCACCTCAACTAAAGCTGGCCATACACTGTAAAAAAAATGTAATTCAACCTGCGGGCTGAACGAAGAAAATAGAACAGATTCCTCCATCAACCCTATACAAGCATGGGTCGAGGAATCTCCTGCTGACTTCATTGTATTTTGACAGCGGCAGCCAGCTGCTGTCAGAGTACCTAAACAGAGCTGGCAGCTGATTGGCTGCCTGCTCTGTTTGTTTGAAGATTTTCCAAACAGCACCTTCGTTTAGCTGATCAAGGGATGCTGGCCGAAAGGGTGCCAACAGCAACACCCACAATAGTGTCTGGCCGGCTTAAGAGGGCACTTCCTTGTAAAGTGCAAATTCTCTTCCAAAGAGAATAACCAATTTGCCTTTAGTAAA